CATCGTCGTCACTATTTTCCTTTCTTTCTCCACCCACCCAACCCTTCCTCCTCCTCCTTCTTCTTCTCTCTACGCCCGCACCGCACCACACCACGCTAACCAGGACCTAACGCGGACCTGGATTTTTGTGGGGAGGAAAATACAGGGTGAGACAGAGCAGAACTGTCTCACCCTGGCCTTCTAATCTATGCCATTCGAGACTTATTTAGGTCGATCTGAAGGGTGTGGAGTAATTGATGGATCCTGTATTCTCTTTTTTCCCCTATTTTCGTGCTTCCAGGGTGAACGGACGTGTCTGATTGATGCCTCTCTCTTTGGAACGGAGGGTTGTGTGTGTTGGAGTTTTGGCAGTGCTAAGATTAGGCTCTCGACCGAGTTACTTGGAGATTTTAGTGTGTAGGTTTTGTGAATAGCGAAGCAGTGAAATCTGGTAGTTTGGGGTTTATTTGCGAATGAGAATTGGCGATGTTTCGCGAGGAGAAGTTTTCTCGGTCGATCTCTCTATGGACGGTTCTACTTCAGCTTATCGATTCTGGTATTCTGAGCTTGATGTAATGAGAAGTGACGTTGGTGGAATAGAGGAGAGTTGTTCGATCCTTGGATTCATCCACTTAGACGGAGGTTTTTGTTTTAGCCGTTTGGATCTGGCGATGGAAGGGAGGAGAGTTTATATTTCGGAGATCGAACGTGGGAGATGGGTATTGATCTCTGTTGAATGGAAGGAATTAGAGGAAGTAGGGAATGCTGTTTTCGAATTAATCAACGAACCATCGTATATTATATTTCATTAACGAAATATCCTTCGTGCTGATCCTATTAAATATAAGAGATAACATTGCAGAAATTAGAAGAAGGAGAAGAAAGTACCATTTTCATTAAAAGCTTTTTAACGAAACACGTTGGTATTCTAATTAACCCTTTGCACTCGAAGGTCTTTCTGTTACAGAGAGGTAGTAAATTACAGTTTGCTTGCTAAATAGATGAAATTTTGTAAAATTAATGTAGAAATTAACAATGCGATATTTAACGTATTTTTATATTATACAAGTCCTTTCGCTGTTTAGACCTCGAACATACGGTGAAGATTTTTACGAAGGTTCATAGACCTGCTATCTTGGAACATGTCAAATTTAAGAGTACCTCCGTTAATTATAATATTTGCCAAGTAATAGTTTCGCTTCTCAGTCGTCTTAATCAACGAACCACCTACATTTCATCGATAAAACACGTTTCGTGTTGATCCTATCAAATGTAGGAAACAAAGAAGAGAGTAGAGTACCATTTTCATTGAAAACTTTTTAACAAAACACGTTGATATTCTAATTAATCAACGAACCACCTACATTCTATCGATAAAACACGTTGCATGTTGATCCTATTAAATGTAAGAGATAACAGTGCAGAAATTAGAAGAAGAAGAAGAAAGTACCATCTTCGTTAAAAGCTTTCTCACGAAGCAAGTTAATACTCGAATTAATCAATCGACCACGATCCAAGCAGTCGAGTAAGAGATAACAGTGCAGAAATTAGAAGAAGAAGAAGAAAGTACCATCTTCGTTAAAAGCTTTGTCACGAAGCAAGTTAATACTCGAATTAATCAATCGACCACGATCCAAGCAGTCGCCCCGTGCATTTGAAGGTATTCACCGAAACACACGAGATCGAAGAACAGAAGCGTAGATTTGAAAAAGACTCCCCGCGACGTCCAATTATAGTTTATATGTACGAAAGTGTCGGTTTCCAAGGGTTGGCAGGTCTGATCGTTCGATTCCAATTTACTACAGGTTATTCTCCGTTCGAGGCCATTATTTTCTTCCACATTTCTTGCACAGAACGTTCCGGAAATCTCTCTCTCTCTCTCTCTCTCTCGAATCTCTGAAAACGTCTCGGTGGAGTGATATCGATAGATAAAAGCTTGATTCGTTCAGTCGAACGATTGAACAATTTCCTGGAAGCAAGGAACTCTGCGCAAATACTTCAGAAAGATATCCGTTTCGATCGTGGTACGTGTATCGCAGAGAAGAAAAAAAAAGAAGAGAGAGAGAGAGAGACGAAACGTAGGATTTCAGGGGGAACGCTTCTCGAACGTGCTTGGAAGGTTGCGAGCAATTATCTCGGTGCGATCACGTCGTTCCGAGGGCCGTTTTTAAATTTTCAATCTATCTTTAATTACCATACGACGAACACGCACATCTCGTTATCTCGTGGAATTTGGCACGAAAATCGGACAACGAAAGGTACTTAGGGGAGAAATATTACGTTACCGAGGGTAACTGTGTTGGATGAAATGGAGCTGTTCTTGTTTTTTCGCGGAATTATAGTATCATCCTCTGTTCCAATTTTTCATACAGTTGTGGTCGTTGTTTAGTGGTGAAATAAATTTTGAAAATTTTTTTTGCTATGCTGTTAAGTGTGCAAATTATTTTGGCGTTTTTTTTTCGTGGAATTAAATGTTGATTTGTGAAAGATCGAACACAATTTTGACGTTGGAAATGATACACGTTGTTTTGGAGATTTTTTTCTATTTGTTGGACAGTTTGAAAAAGTACGTCGATTTTGAGTGAATGAAGTCTTCGGGACTTTTTGAAGAATGGTACAGAATTAATTCGTGCACCTAATGTAATTTCATCAATTGACGTTCTTTCTTTGGAGATAAATACTGATGAATCTTCTATGGAATTACAGTATCTCTCCTTTTTAGTGGAACCATACATTTCTCTTAATATTACACAATGTACGAATTGGGTAGCAGAGTTAATTATAACGACTAGTGTGCAGTCGTTGCCAGAAACTTGGACAACTACCATTTTAAATATTAGCATAGTGAAATGAGTTAGTATTAAAGTAGTATTACACAGCGTTTCTCCCTTTCCATCCCAAAATTCAAGATTCCCAAATCGCCATAAGCAAACCTAAATTCTCCTGAATCAGAAATTCGAAACAAGTATTAAAGTTAGTATTAAAATAGTATTACACAGCGTTTCTCTCATTCCATCCCAAAATTTAAGATTCCCAAATCACCGTAAATTCAAGATTCCCATAAGCAAAGGTAAGTTCTCCGAAATTCTCGAAATCCCGATCCTTCTCTCAGTTACCCGGAAAAGCCATAACGTCTCCGCGAACGTGATCGACCCGAAAACGCCTAAAGAGTAATTCCATGCATTCTGAAATTCACCCTCAATTATTACACGTGATCAATCCTCATCAGCGGGAATCATCAATCTTGGAACACGGGGGAAGGAAATGAAATCTCCGCTTGTTTCCAGCGTCTGTTCTCTCGGTTCGATCCTGGCTGCCATTCGGTGAAACGTGATGACCACACGCACGTGTATACACGCACGTGTCAGCAATCCTACCTGCTCGTTCCTCGAACACGATTTGTTTCGCGAATCTCCCCTCCCCTCCTCCTTGCGAACCTCCGGTTTGTTACGCGAGAGGAGATCCTTTGTTTCAGTCGGAGGTCCTAGGCTGCTGTGAACTCTGGCAGCGTTCTCGAAACACCACTTCCGGTGTACGTGCTCTTATTCCATCGGTTCCCACTCTCCCACGACGGTTTTCTACGTCGCCAATTTCTCTCCTCCTGGCCAACAGATACTTTCTATTCCGCGCGGAGGAGACGCTTCTTCCCGGGGCTTTCAATGATCAACCGGGAGATAAAGGGCAAAGAGGAAATAACGATGCTCCGGGAACGAAAGAGACGGGAGTTTATTCTTGTACAGGTCGGACAGTGATAATGCTAATTAGACGTAGTGACGTGTTCGTTGAGAATGGATCTTCTCGGCTGCGTTTTTGGTTAGTGAGATCTTCGAGTCAGTTTTGTAGAAAGGAAGTAGAGATTTTTTCTGGTGAAAAGGGGGAATTTTCGAGTAATTTTTGGAAAAAGAAGGAAGGGACTTTTGAAAAAGGAGGAATTTTAATCCGGAACAATTCGCTTCGAAAGTTTTCCTCGATGCTCAGTGAAGTAAGCTGCATGACTGAGGATACCGACGATTCAGAATTCCCAATCAAAAATGACACCGAAAAAACTCTCAATACCTCCAATAGAAACGTCAACCATTCAACCAATTAAACTACCCACACGACAGCTCACCCCAACAATTTCCAAGAATCTCAATTGAAAACCTTAAAAGTTCAACGTGTAAGCTGGTTAAACCCCCAATTCCACGTTCCAAAAGAGACTCCTTCTTTCAGCTATTTATTTTTCTTTCTGCTGCTACTTCCTTGTGTTGCTTGATCAGAGAGGGCTCGACACGGAAGGAGAAACCTCCAGGATCCTTTCAGCCATCAGAAAGCTTGAACGGTGATGGAGCCGAGAAGGAAACGCGAGAGAGAGAGAGAGAGAGAGACAAAGAAGGAGGAAAAGGGGAGAACGGGGGCTAAGAACTCGTCAGTATGATTTCCTTGGCGTTACCATGCTGTTTTATTCATCACCGTAGTCACCGGGATAAGATAGGATTGGTCGGTTTCAGTCTGCGAGCAGGGTTATCCTGTGGACACTCGATTAACGAAGGGAATCTTGTTTTCGTTTCATTATCCCCGGCCTCGTACCAGGAGACGAATTGTCTTGCTTCAGTCAGGTCGAGAGATCTCTCTCTCTCGCTCTCTCGATTACGTTTTATCGTCCTAGCTAGGTCCTCCAGCGTTAATCGCAACGCCGCCTCGTTTGTTTATCCAACGTACAATTCATCTAACGTATGCACACGTTAGTCTTGTTTGGACAGACAGGCTTTTCGGCGTTCTAACATACTCTTGGCCAAGCATGGAGTAGTTGCAGGGGATAAATTTGTCGAGTAATTATCGTTAGTTTGATTTTTAAGGGAATTTCGTAGCTTTGGATTTAGGTAATTTGCGAAGAGTTGAAATTGGCGGAGAATTTAAAGGGACTCGTTTACA